GGTGGGAGCACCTTCTTTACTCCTGTGTGATGAGTCCACCCCTGCTCCATGGTCCAGACAGCTGTCTCCATGGTCAGCAGGACCAAGAAGTGTCCTTCCCAAGCTGGCTCAAGCTTATTTTTTTTCCAGGTCTTGACCAGCACATGATTGCCAGGCTGGTGTAGGTGAACAGGAAAGTCAAGTGGAGGAGACTGTATTAACAATTCTTTTCTCCTAAGACAAAGTAAAGAAGAGGACACGCCAAGTATATAATTTTTGAGGAAATAGTGTTTGGTTTCAATGGAAGGCACATGAGTAACAGAGCTAAGGTAAGGAAGCCCATAAAGCATTTCATAGGTGGAGAGGCCAAAGTCCTTCCAAGGGGCCATCCTAATTCTGAGTAGTGCTGTGGGAAGACATTTAGTCTAAGGTTATCTGGTCTCTAAGACTAATTTAGTGAGTTGGTTTTTAAGGTCTGATTCATTTTTTCAACTCTCTCTGAGGAAGGTGGATGTCAGGGAGTATGATATTCCCATTTGATCTCTAGAACCTTCATAAATCCCTTAAGGATGTTGGCGGTGAAATGACTCCCATTGTTTGAGTCTATATTTTCTATAACCCCAAACTTTGGGATTATGTTTTCTAGTAATACCCTAATTACATTTGTAGCAGTGGGCCCTGGGAGAGGGAGGCCCTTGACCCGGTGAGTGAGATGGTCTACAATAATCAAGAGGTATTTACGATGATCTATTTTGGGCATCTCAGTGTAATCTACCTGAATGCTTTGGAAAGATCGCAACCTGGGGATTTCTACCCCCAGCTGGTCTCTGTCTCAGAGCTTGATTGTTAATCTTTTGACAAGTAAGACATCCTTCTGATACTTGTTTGGCTAATGTATAGATCCTATACACCCAGACTCGCAAAACTGCATCACACATGGCTTGGGGTCCCCAGTGGATCCCCTGATGGAGATAGGTAAGGAGTTCTCTCATTAGGGGCTTTGAGATCATTTCCCTCCCATCAGGGAGAACCCATTTTCCCTATTCAGTCCTGACTGACCCAAGTTTTTTTAATTGTTCTTCCTCAGAGGAAGTAAAGATAGGGATGATGTGAGGAGCAGGGAGGTGTGGAATGAGACAAAAGACTGGGGCTTCAGAGGTGAGAGAAACCTGATTTGCTCTCATCTGCAAAAGAATTTCCCTGAGTCTCAAAGTTTACCCCCTTTTGGTTTGGTGGCACATGAACTACGACTATTTCTGCAGGTAGTTTTAGGCTCTCTAATATTTGTTGAATTAATTCTCCATGTACCAAATCTTGGCCCTTGCTATTTATTAAGCCCCGTTCCATCCAGATTTTTCCAAAGGTGTGGACCACAATAAGTGCACATTTTGAATTGGTGTATATGGTCCCTTCTTTGTTCTTTAAGTGTTTTAAGGCCTAATTTAGGGCAAACAACTCTCAAGTCTGTGCTGACCAATTGTTAGGGACTTGGCCTGATTCTATTATAGTCATGGCCTCCCATCTACTTTAGAATATCCATTATGCCCTTTCCCCTTGATTATTCAAGAGGATCCATCCACAAACAAATGGAACCCAGTATGGAAAGAGTTTCCCTGAGATCTGGCCTCACTTTTGTTTGATATTCAGTAATATCCAAACATTTATGTTTGGGGGCTCCTCCCTCCTGCCTTCCTGCCAAGAAAGTGGCTGAATTTAGGGCCGAATCAGTAGTTTAAAAATGTTAGGTTTTCCTTTTCTAGCAAGATAGCCTCATACTTTAGGATCCTGGAATTGGTCAGCCATCTACTGTCTTCTGATTTAAGATTGTTTTGACTTGATGGAGAGTGCTAATAATTATGTTTCCCCTAAAGGTGATTTTTCTACTTTCTTTGGTTAGAAGGGCTGTAGGTCCTACTGCCTGAATACACTTGGGTTACAGGATCCAGGAACTTAGATAAGAAGGCCACAGGTTGACATTGGCCTCTATGTTTTTGGGCTAGCACCCAAGGGCAACTCCCTTATCTACATTCACAAAGAGGCGAAAGGGCTGATCAAGAGAGGATAAGGCTAGCAACGGATCTGTGATAAGGTCTTGCTCTAGGTAATCTACTTGTTCTATCTTCTTGGGGGTTTAAAGGAGGGGGTCTGGTCCCTCTTGGGTCAATTTGAGATACAAAGATTTAGTTTTAAGGGCATATGAGTCTATCCACAAATGGCAGTTTCCGACTAAGCCAAGGAATTTTCTCAATTCTTGCTTCGTTCCTGGGAAGAAATAGTAATTTCTTCTATTCTTTCTGGACCAATCCTTCATTGGCTCTTACTGATTAAATGTCACAGATATTTTACTTCAGTCTCAGCAAACTGTAACTTATTCTTTGAAATATGAAGTCCATGGCTTCCCAGGAAATTTATAAAGCTAATGGTGGTGTTCATCACTTCTTCCTGATTATCCCCTGACAAAAGTAAATCATCCACATATTGGAGGCACATGTGGGGATTAATATGAACTTTTCTAAGACTTGTTCTAAAATCTAGCCAAGGAGATGAGGGGAGTCCATAAATCCCTGGGGAAGGACAGTCCACCTGTACTGTTGCTTGCGTCCTGAGTGGAGGAGTCCTCCCATTCAAATGTAAATATGTCCCAACTGTTTGCATCTAATGGGAAGGCCCAAAAATGTGTCCTTTAAGTCTATTATGCTAAACCACTTGTAGTTATATGGAATTTTGCTGAGAAGACTGAAGGGGTTTGGGACTACTGGGTGTTTAGCTTGGACTATTTGATTGTTCTAAGGTCTGAACTAACTGGTAGGACCTGTCTGTCTTTTTGACAGGAGAATTGGGGTATTGAAGGGAGATATATGAGGTTCAATGAGCCCATCTCATATCAGTCCCTCAATAACTGGCTTCAAACCTATCCTCCCCTCCATAGGATTAGGGTACTGTTTTCTGTTAACAACCTCCCTGGTTTTCTTTAATTGAACTTTGACAGGTGTAACCTGGAGGCCACCTCGATTTCCATTTCTAGCTCAGACTATTGGCTTAATTTTTTCCTGAGCCTATGGAGTAAGCAGATTTAGGGATGCTTGTATTTTATCCCTTTTTACGTGCAAACTGATTCCTAATTGGGTCATTAGATCTCTTCCAAACAGATTGGTACCTGCCTCAGGGACTAGGAGAAATTGTATTTTAGTGGTCTTGTCTTGGAAATAAACATCTGTTTCTTGTAATATTTTAACTGAAAATCTTTCTCCCTTTACCCCAGAAATTAGTATCCTTTCTGGGAAATAGATTAAGCCAAAAGAAAGAGGGAGGATCTGGAAGCCCCTGAGTCAATTATGAAGGTGACAACTTCACATTGTGGTCCCACTTCTAAATTTATCAAGGGCTCTGGGTGGGACCCTTCAAAGGAAAAGAGACCTTGACTCCCCTATTCTTCATCAAGGGTCATTGAGGATACAGTTTCCCTATGCTCTCTTTCCCATTTTGGACATTCTCTCTTAAAGTGTCCAGACTCCCCATATTTAAAGCACTTATTTTCTCCTGACTTTCTGGTCTGTTATACTCCAATGAGGGAGACCAGGCCAGTTGAGGTCCAATACTATATTGGTTTGGCCTTTCCCTATTAACCTTCTGTCTGATAAAGTACTGAAATTGATCTTCCCCTATTAACATGCTTGATCATGGATAACATAATCTTTGCTTTTTGTTTTTGTTTTTCTTCCTCTCTCCTTACATATACCATTTGTGCCTCTCCTAATAATTCCTATATGGGTCTATTTTTCCAATTTTCTAGTTTTTGTAATTTTCTTGCTCTATCTGGCTGGCTGTTTGTAACAAAGTGAAAATTTAATATTACCTGTCTTAAAGGGTCTTCTAAGTCTAGCCCAGCATACTTTCTCATCTGGTCCTTGAGGTGGCTCATGAACTCAATCAGTTCCTCATCCTTCCCTTGTTGGACATTAAAGACTTTAGAGAGGTTTTGTGACCTTGGCACTGATTCCTGGATTCCCCTTATTAAATCTCTTGAGTCCCTCTTATTTTCTTGGTGTTCTGGGGTGTTGTTATCACATTGGGGTCTTGGTTAGGAAACTTAACATCAGTCGCTGGGACATTCTGTCCCATGGGGTGTTCATGTTCTCAGATAGCCATTGCGGCTCTATGGATTATGGCTCTTTCCTCCCCTGAGAAGAGAATTCCCAAAATAGACATTAACTCAGCCCAAGTATATACCTTTAGTCCCCAAAATTGATTGACCTGTTCTGAAACCCTGAAGGGATCCTCGAGAAGGGGTCACAACTCATTTTTAAAGTTCCAGGCCTCAGAGTTGGTAAGAGGGGCATTTACAAACCCAATTTCACCCTCTCTGAGGGGGAGCTCCCTGAGAGGAAAGAGGGAGTATGGTTTTTCCCCTTGGGACTGAAGAAAAGGTAGATTCTCAGTGTCCTGACAACTCCTTTTGGACGGGTTTCAGGTAAGGAGTGGGGAGACAGGGAATTGAAGAGGGGTGGAGGTGGAAGGGTTAGGAGGAGGAGGTGGAGAGGCAGAAGCCTGAGGAGCAAGGAGTTGAAAGGGGGAAGAGGTGAAAGAGTTGGGAGGGAAAGATGGAGTAGCAGAAGCCTGGGGTGTGTGTGGGGGGCTGGCTCTGGTGCCTGAACTGGAGGAACAGCAGGGTTATTGGGGGGGGTGGAAGGGAGGAGAGTAAATCCCAGTTAGAATGGGTTTTGGGTTTTTTTTTTTCTTTTCATTAAGTGGAAACAGGACTACAAGACTCTGTCTCCAACAAAGGGCATATTCCCTCCCCTCTTGAGAGTGACTGAGCTCTTGTCGTTAACATGCTCAATTAATAGTTGACAGACTCAGTCCTTATCAGACCCAAATTTTGGCCAAAAAACCAAAGGCTTTAAGATCGGTTCTTGGGTTCAGATAAAACAATAGTATTTCACCATTCTTTGTTTCTTTTTCCCTTTAGTATGGGGACTATCATCCCAATATTTTAACATCTTCCCTAGAGGGCTCCAAGAAGGTATTTCATCCTGGGCCTTTGTTCTCTGGCCCCCCTCTTTGCTGACTTTATTTCCCATTTTTCTCTTTTGGTTGACTGTGCTTTATTAGGAGCTCAACCCCTCCCCATTGCCTTGGAGGTTTCTTGCACTTTGATTCTTCTTCACTTTGTCAGTCTCTGCCCATATCCTTCGTGGGAGATTGAGGCACCATTTGGTAGCCTGCAGGTCCTGACCTGGATTAGATTTAAAAATATAATCCACCTCAAGTAGCATGAGGTCACCTCAGAACTATGGATCAGGACTCCACTTTCACCACATGTCACATGACACGTCTCATTCACACATCGCACAGCCCCAATATCCCAACCACTAAGACATTACTTGGTCACCCCTGTGATGTTTCTTGTCTTGGTTTGTGCACAAAACTCATGTGGTCACCACGGTTCCTGTCTTCAGAGCTCATTTACCTGTATTGTCAAGAAATTCAGGAGTCCAAGTTGATTCACAGATCTGGAAAGTTGCCACCATCAGCTGAACCTTGGGGCTGCCACAATGAGGCAGCAGGATGGGTCTCCTTGGGGAAGGCCCAGATGAAACCCCAAATTGTCGGAATTAATAACCCTCTGGTGCTGAAAACAGACACACAAGAGACATAAAATCTTGACAAGGCAATTTTTCTTGATCAAGAGGGTGCAAGCATGTGCTCACTCCTGCTAAGCAAACACGCAAGCACAAAATGGTTGACAGTGGCTCCTCCTTATTTCCCTGACACAGTTATACCTGCCCCTCACCAGGGATTTGTCCAGGTCAAAGGTTCACAAACTTTCCCGATTGGCTAAAAAGCTTGGGGGATGGGTTAGGGTATGCAGTTTGGTGGGCAATGGAGTCATACAGGAATCTGGAAGAAGAAGCAAAGACACTTAAACATGCAAGTCACCTAAGATGGAGACCTGAGGAATTTTTAAGTAATCTAAAAGGGTAACAAATACTTTGATAGAAAAGATCATTTTTCTTACAGGATGACAAAGTCAGCACACAAGTAGGATTTATTGGAGAGAAAGGAAAAGTTGCCCTTAGAGATGGACAGGGAGCCCAGAAAATTGGTAGCTCTCTTGTCATTCACAAAGGTTTTTTTTTTAAATTTGGTCCTTTTTCTTGGGGAGGGGAGTTAGGAATCAGGGATGGAGTGGCTTTTTGACATATCTTTTTAGGAACACACTGTTGGGGAGGGGAGGTGCAGGAGCCAGGAGTGGATTGGTCTCTTAACATATCTATGTAGGAACATATACACAGTTCTGTGAAAGCCTCCTGCTTATCATCCTTGTGGCATTTTGAGGCATCCCAGGGAACCATGACTTGTGAAAGCACCTGTCTCTTTACAGGATATGGGGGTCCACAGTGCTTTCATGAGGGATGGGGTGCTGGCTTATTTTGTCTTCTGATCCCCAGACCCAACACCAGGCTTGACAGTCAGGCTGAATGTTGACACGGAGCCCCTCAGAGCATCAGTCCTGGGGCTGATACAGGACAGTGGTGATTTAACTATGGGGACCTCAGCATGCCTGCAGCTCCTCCTCCCAGTGTGGAAACTCTTCCTCCTTCAACACCTTAACATTCACCAGAGGGATACCCTTACCTAGAGTCTTGTTAACATTCTGATATAAAATATGAGACAAACTAAAAACCCTTTCTCCAGGAGACTCCTTTGTCAATCTGTTACATGTCAGTGTCGAAGAGTTTCAGGCTGGGGTTGCGGGTCCTTGCCTTCACAGGCCAGGGAAATGGCTCCTGAGGCAGCTGAATGAAGATCCAAAGCCAGTATATAAAGTAGGATTTATTAGAGGGAAGGAAAGGCTACAGCTAGAGGACTGCAGTGGAGCCTGGAAGCCAGTAGCTCCTGCTTAGGTGAAGGCCAGGGCTTTTTATGGATGCTTTAACTTTGGCTTAGGGTATCAGTTAGGTGGGTTTTTTCTATTGCCCATGTATTTGCATGTGGGCTCTCTTAGATGAGCTGGTCTCTTTGCTCCTTAGTGAGTATGGTGGGGGGGAACAACCTTGAGATCATTTTGTTTATCAGCCCTGTGGCAGATTTATGAGACCATATATCTCCCCCTCAGGGTGCAGGAATGCAGATTTATAACTCCTTCTCAGGGTGCAGGGCTCATGGTGCTCTCCATGGGGGATGGGCTACTCACTCATCTGTCTTAGGTATTCAACAAGTCCCCCCCTCTCAGACAAGTACCCAACTGCTGTTGGGGAGATGGGCAATGACTCATCTAGCTGTTTCATGCTGACAATGGGGTGATGGGGGATGGTGGAGGTGGTACTTGTCTCAGGGGTTGACCCGTGTAATCTCTAGGGGCCCCAATAGGACAGGTTGGAGGGCTCACGTACAGGCAGAGGTGAGTACTCCTTGACTAAGGAGTGGAGTTTGATCCACTGGGTCTGTTGAGATATGAATCCTGAGAGAGCATTTATTATACAAGGACAAATAGGAGTATTAGGAGCATAAAAAGTGGGCCAGCCAGGGGTAGTGTCCAAGGATCCAGCCCCATATGTTGTTCCAGAAGGACCACGAATTGGCTAGCTCTTGTCTCATTTTTGTTACATGTTCTTTTAACTGTTGGGCCATGACTCTGACCACCCCAGATTTGTTAGCATAAAAGCAACCTTCCTCATTTAGGAAAAGGCACATTCCACCCTTTTGGAGCACTATTGACACAAGTGAATCTACCTGGTTTTGTAAAGCCTCTATGGACTGAGTGACCTGTTCTATGTCATTATTAAATTCTGTTGACAGCTGTTGATAGGTACAGATTGGCAAAGAAATGCCCCCAGTGCCAGTACGTATTCCAGCCATGATCCCCATAGCTATCAGTAGGGGAATGATTTGAATCCCTCTTTTTAACCAAGTGTATGCCTCTAGAGGAATAGGAAGGGATTGATTACCAGGAACAACATCGATTTGTGGGATTAGGAGAGCCTTAGTACAGGTTCCCTTCCAGCCAGGAGGTAGGCAAGTGTAGGCTGCAGTTCCACAAACAAAATAAGTTCCAGGAGAAAATAAACACTAAGTGTTATTTGTTGACTGTGTGATATTGATACAAAAGTTTTTGGAAATTTCCCCCAGTGGAATTGACCCCTGTAAGCTTTGGAGGCACTGGGGAGCAGGATGGGTTAGGTTTATATTGGTATTACTAGGTTTTCTTAAGAGAGGGTTTAATTTATTACCTGGTGAGACCTCAAGTGAGTCCATGGGGTTGCCAATACCTGTGGAAGGCTTGGAGAGAGACAAAGCCAGCAATCCTCAGCCAAAGAGGGGTTTGTAGAATTTAAAAGATGATGGGCAGAGTTGAGTAACCTGAACAGCTGGGAATTTAGATTTATGGGTGGCTGAGGCTGCGGGAGTTGTAATGTTTTCTGGGAGGGGGAGTGGGCAGTGGGAGTCTCTGTCGCACATCATTTACATGATCCCCCTGTGACATGTCAGTAAGTATTTTGGCATTTGTTTTTATAGTCTCATTTCTAAAATTTTTTTTCTCTGTCCCTCCTGTGGCCAACAGATCCATTGGCCTGCTCTTCCTAGGCATTGGGTGGGAATGCCAACAAAGACTGTGCCTAATGCCTTGCCATATAGTTGTCCATTTTTAAACAGTGAAGGTTGCTTAGGAACAACTGGTGCAGCGTTGTAGTAACTGCAGTCATGAGGGCAGGGAGGGGGACCCACAGCCAGAGCACAGACTATAAGAGGAAGGAGAGCACAGAGAGCAGGGTACACAGGACAAGATGTCCACCACTCAAGGCTACTCCTTTGGGGCCATACTCACTCCGGAGGAGAAGTTGCCCACAAGCCAACACTCAGAAGAAAGGGGATGAGATGAGATGAGAATAAAAACAGCCCACAAAAAGGGAGGAAGTGAAGGCATAGTTTACCTGTACAAGGTGATCCTTTTGAAAAGATATTTGAGGTCTTCCACTGGCTCACAGGAGCAGGCTGGTGGAGCAGGCTGTGCCTCTGGGGTGAGTGTGTCAGGCTCTGGTGTCCAACATTTGGCTCAGGAGATATGAATCCTGAAGTCTAGTCCAGCAACCTTAATTCCTGTGGGGGTAGATAACAAGACTGGGTGTGGTCCTTCCCAAGGGGGTTCAGAGAGACCTTAGGAGTTATGGGGGAGTTTGATAAGGACTACAGGCAGCTGGGCAGAGGCCTTGAGGCTCCTCACTCCCTACTTCAGAGAGAACCTGTTGAAACCTGGCTAGTTGTGTGATAGGAGAGACCAGGTTTGTTACTTCAGCATCTAAAATGAAATCGTTTTGGAGAAAGGGTCTCCCATACAAGGCCTCAAAGGGAGTAAGGCCCATTTTATTTGGGGTATTTCTGAGTCGTATTAAGGCTAGAGGTAGTAAATTTTGCTGGGGAAGGTGAGTTTCCTGAGCCAATTTAGACAGGTGTCTCTTGAGTAATCCATTGGCTCCCCCAAACTTGCCTGAGGATTGGGGTCTCCAGGCACAGTGGAGATGATATTTGATTCCCAAAGCCTTAGAGACTCCCTGAGTGACTTGGGTTCAGAAGGCCAGGCCATTGTCACTTTGGAGAGTCCCAATCTAGGGATAATCTCGCTAATTAGCACCTTAATTACTTCTTGGGCCTTTTCAGAGGAGCAGGGGACTGCTTCAACCCATCCAGTAAAGTATCCACCAGAACCAGGAGCAATCTAGAGGTTAGGCCCCCAGGTAGGTGGGTGAAGTCAAGCTGCCAGTCCTCCCCTGGATATGTCCCCCGCCTCTGAGTTCCAGGGATAGGCAGGGCAGCGTTGCAGGGATTGTTACACTGACAGATTTCACATCCTGTAAGAGTATCTTGGAGAGTCTCTCCGAGTTTTATCCCCTGAAATAGTAGCCTTATGGACCCCCAAGTGATAGGTCTGATGTAGGATTTTTAGGACCTTCTATTGGCTACTTTGTGGGAGAAATAATTTGCCCTCAGGAGCTATGTACCATCCTCTATGATCTAAGCACTAACCTGTCTCTGAAGCCTGTGAATGTTTGGCAGGTGAGTATAGGGGAGGTTCAGAACAGAGGAGGGATTTTTCCCACAAGACAGGGGCCTGAACATAAGGTCTCCTAGCGGCCTCCTTTGCTGCCATATCAGCTCTGGTTTCCCTTAGCAACCTGATCCTCTGACCTTCGATGCCCGGGACAGTGTATTACTGCTATTGGTTTTGGAGGTAAAGCTGCTTTTAAGAGGTTTAAGATTTCCTTGGAATGTTTGATAGGAGATCCTTCAGTAGTTAACAATTCTCGCTCTTTCCAAAGGGCAGCATGAGCATGCAGGATCAGGAGAGCATATTTAGACTCTTTTTAGATGTTAACAGTTTTTCCCTCAGATCATTGTAATGCCTTAGTGAGAGCCATCAGTTCAGCCAGTTGGGCACTAGTGGAAGCAGGCAGAGGTTCAGCTCATAGGGTTTCAGTGAGAGAGACCACAGCTGCCCCTGCTCTTCTAATTCCCTCCCCAACAAATGAACTTCCATCTGTGAAGAGAGTGAGGTCTGGGTCCAGGAGTGGCTGGTCAAGGAGGTCGGGCCTAACTGAATAATAATCAGATAGCACTTCCTCACAGGAATGTACGAGTGGGTCCCCCTCATACATCCAATGCTGGATTTAGGGCAGAGCACACCCAAAGGCTCACATCTGGACATTCTAACAATTGGACCTGATACTTAGGCAGCCTGTTGTCTGATGACCATAGTCCTCCTTTAGCTGCTAGAAGTCCCCTAGATCATGTGGAGTATATATGGTTAAGGGCTGTCCAAGAATTAATTTTTGGGCCTCAGGGAGGCAGGTTGCTGCCAGGGCCCTTTAGCACCCAGGCCACCCTTTTGACACAGTCTAGTTCTTTGCTTAGATATTTTGCTGGCTGTGGAGTTGGCCCTTGGAGCTGGGTCAGTACTCCTAGGGCTGTCCCCCACTTTTCATAGATATATAGTTGGAAATGATCTTGGGTAGGTAAGCTCAAGGCCAGGGCAGTTTGTAGTGACAGTTTGAGGGCCTGAGAAGCCTTTGTTTTTAGGGTCCCATTCTTAAAGGGATTGAGAGCCTCACTGAACATCTTTTAGGAGCTGGAATAGAGGCCTGGCAAGGACTGCATATTTAGGGATCCAGTTCCTGCAAAATCCTGTAACTCCCAAGAAAGCTCTAAGCTGCTTTATGGTCTGGGGAAGTGGAAAAAGGAGAATTGGGTAGATTCCCACATGACCCAAGGAGTGAGTCTGTCCCTTTAAGACCACACCTAGGAAGTTGACCTGTGGGAGGCATAATTGAGCCTTTTCTTTAGAGACTTTGTATCCCCGGAAGGCCAGAAAGTTTAAAAGGGACTCAGTTGCCCTGCAGATGAGGGTCTCTGTGGCTCTGCACAGAAGTAGGTCATCAACATATTGAAGAAGGGTGCCCTCTGGGTAGTGCCAATCTAATAAGTCTTTGGTTAGGGCTGTCCAAAAAGATGAGGGCTGTCTTTAAACCCTTGTGACAAAACTGTCCAAATCAGTTGTTGTAAAGGGTTTGTGGGATCTTTGAAGGCAGAGGCTGTCATGATGCAGAGGAATGCAAAAGAAAGCATCCTTTAAATCTAGTACAGAGTAATATTGGGCTTTTGAGGGTATTTGAGCCAACAGAGTATAGAGATTGGGAACAATTGGGTGGAGGGGAATGACTGCTTCATTAATGAGCCAGAGGTCTTGAACCAATCCCATTTTTTTGTCCCCTTGTGGACAGAAAGGAGTATTATAGGGGCTGGAGCAACTAATTAGCAGCCCTCGGTTTTTTTAGGGTATTTATGATAGGTAAGAGGCCTTATCTTCCCTCATACTTGAGGGGATATTGTTTTTGGTGTGGAAACTGTGAGGCATTTTTGAGTTTTATTTGACTAGGGAGGCTGTTTTGGCTCCCTATCCCATCAGTCCACACTGTGGGCTCTGTTTGTTCCTGAAGCAGGGAGCAGCAGAGACAGTTGCCTGGGGGGAGGAGAATTTGAGCTTTTAGTTGAAATGGTAAATCCTGTCCCAGTAGTGGTACTGGAATTCCAGGAACTATGAGGAAAGAATGACAGAAGAGGAGGTCTCCCTAACAGCAGGCCAGAGGCTGGGTAAAATAGCGTTCTAGGGGCTTGTCAGATATGCCCTGAATAATAATCATGTCATTGGACTGGGGACTGGGAGAGAAAGTAAGACAGAGAAATGGGCTCCACTGTCTAGAAGGAAAATGACCTTCCCCTTCTCTACCATTATGGCTACCTGAGACTCCTCAACATCGATGTTAAAAAGTGGAGCCTGCACAGGATGCCCCAGGACCCATCAATACATAGGAGGTGGCACCCCACCTTCCATTGGGAGATGGGGGTACTTAGACTTCCAGTGGTTACCCTTGCAGAGCGGGCAGGGGCCCACAGGGTGGTAGGGCTGTTTCCTGGGCCATCCCCCTTTTGGGCATTCTCTGCGGAAGTGCCCCTCCTGTCCATAATGGCAGCAAGTTCAGGATGCAAGCCCCAGTCAAGTGAGGCCATCTCTGAGAGTTGCAATGAGGTCATGGTGTTTCTTGTCTTTTTCTTTTTTTTAAGTAATGTCCCGGTTATATACAGACATGGCTAACTGCATTAATTGGTCCAATGATTTTTCTCCTTCAGCCACTGACTTTTGGAATTTTCTACAAATATCTGGGACTGTGTTAGAAATTTATCTTTGAGGAGAACCTCTCCCACCTGCAGTTCTGGGTCCACCATGGTATGCTTTCTGATAGTGTCTTTAAGACACTGTAGAAAGGTAAGGGGGGCTTCTTCAAGGCCTTGTAATACAGTCACCTGGGATTTGGCCCTTTTTAGCCCTTCTACTATGAGATCAATGAAGTGGAGTCAATGCTACTCATCTCCTTCACCATTTTGATTCCAGTGTGGATCTGCCAAGGGGACTGCTTGTGCCCCTGTAGGTATGAGCACATTTATCTCCTCATTTTCAGGCACCACAGGTATTGGGGTCTGTTGTAAATGGTAATCATTTCCAACCTAAGTAGCTGGGCCAGGCCAGAACACATTGTTTTTCTAATAAGGAAAGAGTTTGGTCTAGTAGAAGCAAAATATTCTTCCACGGCAATTCAAAAGCTTGGAGCACAGAGATAAAGGCTTGGATGTGTTGGTCTGGGGCATCAGTATAGCTGCCCAGATTTTTTTCAATCTCCCTTAGATCTGATAGTTGGGAGGAGACATAGACTCGCCCTCTTCCTACCATTGCCTGTTGAGGAGAAAGCACCCATTAGGAGGTTATGAATATTGGGGTGGCTTAGGAGGCAGGGCAGAGGGTGGAGCAGTAGGAGTGGGGGACTGGTCACTGATAAGGGGCTTTTCTGGTCCTCCTTCCCCATGTTTATCCTGTGGCTTACAAAGAATGGCCAGCATTTCAGTTTTTCCTCATGGGAGGGCAGGGTCCCAGTAAGCCCAGGGAGGGGAAGACAGACAGAGATAAAGGACAAGGCGGGACTAGGGAGGGAGCAGAACAGCTGTGTGTTTTTAACTCAATGGAAACAAAGTCTACTGTTGAACAAAAGAGGGAGGCCATTCATCCTCTACTGCTTGGGAAAGGGGAAGGACAGGCTGAGGATTGGGGGAAAAGAGTTTCCAGGCTCAACACATGAGGGATTACTGGTATCACTGCAAGCAAGGTGTGACCTCCAGTCTTGGGCCATGGAAACATGAAGGAAGCACAGGAGATCTGATTGTTTGCCTCAGGCATGGCTGGAGGGGTATGAGATTTAGCTGCCTTTTGAGCCTCAGGGCCAGTCAGATGTTGAGAGAGTTTAAGAGGAAAAAAAGCCTCAGTGCACTGAAGTCAGGCTCCACCTATGCAGCATTGGCTGGCACCTGAGTTCCCTCAGGTTGACTGCCTTACAGCTGTAATGGGCTCGTAGCTTTTCCTCAGATTCCCAAGGGAGAAACCCTCCTTAACGAGAGAGACAGAGAGAGAGAGAGAGAGAGAGAGAGAGAGAGAGAGAGAGAGAGA